CGGGCCTTGATGTGTAGTGTCAGAGAAAGCCACGTTCAACCACATAAGACACTCCGTTCTAGCTGCTTATTTGGTTCCATCTTCTTTATTGTGGTGCAAGGGAGGAAATAAAAAAGTATTTGTGGAGGAAGGGCAAGGGACCCTGCATAGAAATTTGAAAGCCGCGTGCCAGATTGCTGAAAAGCAATAACCAAGAGGAAACTGTAAAGCCAACAAGAGAGAGACTCACCTCATGGGAGGCCATTAATGCTTGGTTTCCCATTGAAAACAGCAAAGAGCAGAGGGCCCTAGAGTAGCATTCATTATATTGAGGTGAGGTATCAGCCTGTAATTCATAAAAGTTTTTTTTTTCAGAAAAGGTGTAATAAGGACACTCCTGGATAAAGAATGCCGAAGTAGCTCCAGCCATGGACCTACATGCCAAGAGCTAGGGACTCTTGGGGTGTCGGGATGGTGGCAGGTTGGGCTCAAGTCTGAGAACACTGTGAACAGTGCAGTGGTAGAGAGAAGTTCACAAAAAGTCTACATATGTTTTTTTCCCCCATTTATTTCCCCTATGTGTTTCAAAAAGTACAGACACATGTAATGACAATTATGAACTGGTGCTGTTGGGTTTCTGACATGTGTAGACACGGTGTGCACACCGTGCTCTTTGTGTAAGTCCCTTCTTCATCCCTGAATTCAAGCAACATACACATATATGTACATAATACATATATATGCATACATATATACATACTTGTTTTAATTCCAGGCTGTCTGGGCAGCTCAACCTCTAATCCCAGCACATGGAATGGAAGGTTGAAACAGGAGGATGACCATTAGTTTAGGGCCAGCCTGGGCTACATATTGAGTCATCCCAGGCCAATTTGAGTCACAGTATGAGCTGGAAAGGGTTGTGTGTACACGTTTTTCTCATCACTCTCTCCACACTGCAGGCAGGAGCTGTTTGCATGTTGGTCACATTGTGCTGTGGGTTAGAGATACCTGAGATGATTGGACGTGCACAGCAGGACATAGATTGTCCAGCACTGTCAAGGGCTTGAGCCCATGTATCTTGGTGTCCTGCAGACTCTGGACTGTACCCAGCAGTGGGCCACGGAGGGGAAAATCCCTGCCTGTCACTGAGTTACTGCAGCTGCTCAAGGAACCCTGGGAACACTCTGAGTGAGCGTCTGTACACACTGAACAAAGGTCTTTAAAGTGCCTGGAAAAGTACATGGGACAGCTTTGAGTTCAGGTACAAGTGGGTTAAAGACAAAGGTGAAGGACAGGTAAACTGTGCACACAGTCACCTGGAGGGCTGGAGTGACACTAAAGGTCAGCAAAGTGGACATTAGGGCAGGGGTTTGCCAGAAACTGATGGCATCTCAGGAGAAGATGTCAACACAGGAAAATGTAACCAGTGTAACTAGCGACAGCCCCAAAGTACATACAAAGACTGACTTGAGAGGAAAAATAGTTCAGCAATGTAGGTAGTTAGAGACACCAGCAGGCTACAGGGGACACATGGACTGGTACAGCAGAAGGCTGGGCAGTGACTGCAAAGTGTACACGTCCACCACGTGCACTGAGAGCATGTGCCATGTACACAGAAACCTCCGTGATTAGCAAGGCCGCAATCCAGCTGTGTACTCTGACCACAGAAGAGGAATTATCAATCGATAACAGACAACAGGCACGTCAGAGGTTCAAGGTCATCCTTGGCTTCACAACAAGTTCTAGGACAGCTTGGGCTGCAGTAGATCCTGCCTCAAAAAACAACTTGAAACAAAAGACCCCCCTCCCCAATCCCCAAAGAATCAGCTAAATCCACAGTTACTTGGGAATTAAAGCACATATTTACTTCTGTGTAACTTATGGGTCAAAGAAGAGATCATAAGATGAGTCACAGCCCAGTATTAACGGAATGGAAGTAGAAACACACATTGGGGCTCATGGAAGGAGCTGCACCAGTTGTCACACTCGAGTTTACACCCCTGCGTCTACAAAATGAGGAGACCTAACCTCAGAGTCCAGCCTGTACCTTAAGACACTGAAAAGAACTGGGCATGGCTCATGCCCATAATCCCAATACTTGGCAAGCTGAGGCAGGAGAATTGCCAGGAGTTCAAGGCATGAGTCCCTACTTTAAAAAATGAGTAAATACATACAGAAAAAGAACTATACAAATAAAGTAAACCCAAAGCCAGCAGAAGAAACAGAAAGCAGTGAGAGAGAAAACAAAAAAGAAAAAGAAAAGGAGCTATACTTTGAAAAGACTGGTGGGGTGGGGAGACGCTATCCGACTACAGCGTACACAGGCAGAGACGCTTGGGCATCTAGACCGCTCTTAAGGAACGCTGGTCAGAACTAGCTAACCCTGCTGCAGTCCTCAAGATGGCAATGCGCTTTGTACAAGTGCTTGGAAATTAATACTCACTTGCCAAACCACAGTGAACTAGGCCCTACCCTCACTTCATACCATATGCAAAAATTAACGCAAAGTAGCTCGCAGGCCTTTGTGGAAGAGCTAAAACTGTAAAATCTGTAGAGGAAAACATGAGAAAACACTCATGGCCTTGGGCTATGGCAGAGCTAATTAGATATAACACCAAAAGCACAATCCATAAAAGGAACATTGATAAAGTAGACTTCATTAAGATTAAAAAAATGCGAGCACTTCAAAGATATGTGGAGGAGGTAAAAACAAGCCACAGGCTGCGGAAGATGTTTGCAAACCGCTTGTCCATGCTTATGTTCAGAATGAATAAGGAACTCTTGTCACCCAGCAAGACAGACAACTGAGTTTGAAAATGGGTGGATGTGAGCTATCTCAGCATAGCCTCTATATGAATGGTTGCCAGGGCACACAACCATGATCAGTGTCATTAGTCACTGGGGAGTGCAATCAAAATCACAGGGAGATGCCACTAACCTTCTAGAGCCGCTCTTATGCAAGGTCAGAGGTTGCTGGACAGAAAACCCAAAGACCTTTCTCATCGCTGTTGGGAATGTGGACAGGTAGAGCCACGCTGGGAAAGTTTGCCAGTTTCTTAGTAAGTTATATTCAAACCTGCTGTGTGAACGAACAGTTCTTACCTAGGAATAAACTCAACTGGAAACATGTCCTCCTGAGGAACGCACACCACTCTTAACAGCAGTGTCATTCAGTACCATCTAGAACTGGGGACTTGGAGGCCCACTAGCCAGTGAGTGGACTAACAGCAGGGGAGGCACCGGGGACTGTTGATCAGGAAATAGGCCAGGGCTTGCCTCCAGATGGTTCAGTCCCACAGGCGCTGTGCTCAGTGAGGGAAGAGTGCAGGGGCTCACTTAGCACTGCATTCCATAGATTGCCCAGAAAGGGCAGGCTCAGAGACAGTGGCTGCCGTGGGCCAAGGTCTGGGGGACATAAATGTCACAGAGCAGCTGCCAGGCTTTTCAGAGAGGTGTAAGGCTGGACTGGATCCTACACAAATCTAAGTTGATCACAGACTGTTGACCTGTGGCGTGCAATAGATGTCTATATAGTAGATAAGTTGTCCATACTTAGTAAAGCTGTTAATACAAAATGTGAGGGTGCAGGAATGTCTCTGGCACACTCTCCGAGCATGTCCAGGACCTTCATATGGTTGTACACAATTACTTTTGATTTTTCACTGTTAAAAATCTGACTACCTATGACATTACTTGCTTGTTTTATACACGATTCCTAATTCTGAACAAGTCATAACCTATTTCATTCACTGGACCAAATTCCTTCACCAAATGCAGCAGCCGTGCCAGAGACAGTGGTTTGAGGGTTCGGAGATTTGCTTGTTCAGATCCAAGCTTGTGCCGTCCTGATGTGTTGTAGTAGCTAAAGAACTGAAAGACTTTGTAGGGCTCCTAGACTCCTGAGTCATGGAGAAAGTAGCTACCTCTCTTGGTCTCCTCATCCTGTTTGAGGATGAGGAAGCCCTGGTGAGTTACTCAGGGCCATGTTTGCAGGTGTTGACAAGGTTGTCACTCTGCTGGGATGCTCCACAAGCCCACAGCCAGACGGCTGGTTGGCCATAGATGGCCTATTCATCGCTTGGTTGAATCCTGAAGCCCTTCCCTTCCACAGCCTGTTTTCCTCTCGTTGCTACTGTGTTTCTGTCACTCACAGAATCTCCCGTTTCAGCTCTTGCAGTTCAACCCTCTGGAGCGTCTGGGTGCCGGAGTGGCTGGTGTCGAAGACATCAAATCTCACCCATTTTTCACGCCAGTGGACTGGGCAGAACTGACAAGATGAGCATCGTGTGGAGTGTTCTTCACGAGATGGAGCCCCTCAAGACAGATCTCCAGGAGTATCTAGGCTTCGGTCACCCTTCAGCGGGTGCACCAGAGCCTCGGGACAAGGCCTTAGAGGAAGTGATGGGTCAGGGGGCTAACAGAGTCCCTTCCACCTGATGTCTGGACGAGAGCTTGAGAGCTTGGTGAACCTTGCCAGCAGCTGTATTGCACTGGCCCTCCCCAAGATAAGATGTAACTGGCCTTCAGGGTTTCTGGTGTGTGGCAGACATGAATGAGAATGCCTGTGCAAACACCTCTGCTAGGAGGCTGTAAGTGTAGAAGGGAGATTTTGGTGGCAGCTAATGGTGCTTCTGTTATACAAGACTGTTTTTCACGATTAAGTCGATATTGCTGAGTAACACACTAAATGCGCTCTGTGAACAGTGCCACCAACGGGCTGACGATGTGACAGGGAATGCCCAGTGCTGAGCAGGGCTAGGTTGTCTGAGGAAAAAACACTCTGGCCGGCCTCGGACTTGCTGCTCGATGCTGCTAACTCTGCAGGGCTCGACGTCTGTCCTCCAGCTCCTCTCTCCCCTGCTCCAATCCCGCATTCTCTGCTCATTCTCTCAGATTCCGCTTTAGTCTTCTGTCAACACACAAAGAACAAAAAAGGGAAGGGGTATTTATTCCCCCAAACTGTCAGTGTAACAAGACTAAGAAATCATGATGTAAAATAAATGTGGTTGAAACTTGTATGGCTTCTTTATTAATAGCTTAAGATTTAAAGGTTCATTTTGAAGGGTCCTGTTCCCCCCCCCCCCCCCTCCCCCCCCCCCCCCCGCCCCCTTTCTCCTGAGGAAGGTGGACAGTTTTTTCTTACTGTGGCTTGGTGTATTTGTTTTCCTTTGGGCTGGAATACCGGGACCCATAGTCTGTCATCACAACCCAGCGCGGTGATGTAGGGCTGAGCTCCTCATACTCTGGGAGAGAACCAGAGGTTCACTGGCTCACGGTTACTAATGCCGCTTCTTCATTTTGCTAAGGTAGTGCGGCTGCCACCGTGCTGTTAGCCAAAACTTGCAGATCCTTAAAAGTGTTTGTCAAATTTCACGAAGAGATTACAGGGCAAGGCCACCAGAAATTACTGAAACTCCCTGTTCTTTCCTTGTTGTCATTGTGCTTGTTTGTGTTTGTTGTATCAGAGATTAGACTCAGAACCTTGTGCCCCAGTGCTAGTCAAGCAATGTCCCATTGAGCTTCACTCTAGCCCCTGGGTTTTCTTTTTGTTCTAATCCATGTGCTTTTGAGTCTGTGAGAGAGGCTACCCTGGCCCCAGGAGAATCTTGACATCCATCTGCTGACTTCCAGGTCTCCCGTCAGGGTAAACAGAAGCAGAAGTGTTTGTGGGAACACAGGAAATGTGCAAGCATTTTCCCTCTTCTATTATTTGCCCCCTTCCCCCTCTTCAGTCCCCTTATAACCCAAAACCCAGCTGAAGGGCTGTGACAACACCAGGTTGGGATATAGCAGGTCACCAAGATCAGACCTCAGTCAGGATGACATCAGTCTGGAACTGGGTTTGGCTCACCACCCCCTGGCCTCATGACAGGAACTCATGCAGGTGAGACACGGGAGGACTGACTTCCTGTGTGGGCCGGTAGGAAGTCTGTGAGCAGGCCAGTGCAGAACTTCCTTCCGGAAGTGCCCTGTGACATAAAGTTAGGACTGCACAACGAAGGTGAAGGGCCTGCCCTTCCCTGTGATTTGGGCCCCAGGACTCGAAGGGCAGTAACATAAACAAACGGTCGCCATGTCAGTTGGTGGGCATATTCCCACAGCCACAATCTCTCTTTCTGCGTGTTTGATTGGGGCTTGTACTTAGCATAAACACACCATTCACGTTGGACACAAATGATTTTAGAAATAAGACTGGGTAAATGGCTGTGAGAGAAGCCCATCTCTCATGCAGTCTCTGTACATGCTTGAAGTTCCAGTGGTGTGAGACTGGCTTCCGCTGTAGTTCCTATTTTGATGGCTCAAGTAGAGAGGGTTGGAATATGGGTCAAAACCATAAAAGAAATTACCACTTAGTATTTCAAATGTTTTTTTTTTTTATTTGAACTAGAGTAAGAGTAAATTTTGTCATTTTGAATATGTGTGTGTGATCATAAGTGCATGCGCACATGCGTGTGTAGGTCAGAAGTCCGCACCAGGTGTGCGTCTTAGGGTTTCCATTGCTGTGATGAAACACCATGACCAAAGGTAAATTGGGGGTGGGGGAGAGGGTTTCTTTGGCTTATACTTTCATATCACTGTTCATCATCATCGTAGGAAATCAGGACAGGAACTCAGACAGGGCAGGAACCTGGGGGCAGGAGGAGATGCAGAGGCCATGGAGGGAGCTGCTTACTGTCTTGCTCCTCATGGCTTCCTCAGACTGCCTTCTTATGAAACCCAGGACCACCAGCTCAGGGATGGCACCACCCACAATGGGCTGGACGCTAATTAAGAAAATGCCCTACAGGCCTGTGCACAGCCGGAGCTCATGGAGGCGTCTTCCAAGTGAGATGTCCTCTCCTCAGATGACTTTAGCTCGCTGACATGAAACTGTCCAGCACCCTGTCTCTCTTGGTTTCTCTTCACTGTAGTTTTTGAGGCAGTACCTCTCACTGAACCTAGAGTTCACCATCTTGTCTGGACTGGGTGTGAGTGAGCCCCAGGGACCCTGTCTCCTCCTGACCAGTGCCGGGGTTAGGTACATGCTGCCTGTGTTTTCACATGGAATCTGGGGATCTGAACCCAGGCCCTCATGTTGTGTAGCAGGTGCTTTGCCCACTGAACCATCCCCGTAGCCCTTCTTCAGCCAGTTTTAGGCATATGATGCAAAAGTGACATTTAGCATGCTTAAGTCTTTGTGCAGCCATCACCACTATCTCTCTTCAGAAATGTGCCAAAACCACACCTGTCCCATGGCAACTGGGTGCTCGTTCTCTCCCCGGCTCCTGGTCTTCATGGCTTGGGCTACGGCAGGCAGTTCACATAAGTGGAATCATATACTGTGTTTTCGTGTCCTTTCCAAGGCCCATCCATGCTGTGGGTCATGTCTGTCTCTTATGAAAGACAGACTCATACTCCAATGCGTGTGCATCACATTTGGTTAAATGACTTACCTGGTGAGTGAAATCCAGCCCCACGGGGAGCCGTCTTCTGGACCTAGCTATGATCTCGATGGCCTGTTCTTCCTGTCCTGGCTGACTGTTCGTCTGATATTAGTGCTCCATTTTTCAGCTACCTCACGTTGCTTCTTTTGGACTGTTGGGGGTGACGGTGTCCCGAACTTGGACGCCTGAGCTCCTGAGTGCCCCTCTCCCTGTGGACTGTGTGTTTTGCTTGGAATCCCCAGTGCCGATTTCTCTCCGCTCTTCTACAGGGCTTTGTCAGGCAGGTTGTCATTGGCTCACACTACCGTATGAACATCACCGACTTCACCCCACAGGTAGGTGACTGAGGCGTCCAAAAAGTGAAGAGAGTGCCTTCCGAGAATGTCACCACAGTTGAAGATTGCTGATATTGTGACATGAGTTTGTATTATTTGAGACATATTTTTAACTTCTTTTTTTATTGATTTAAATTAGAAACAAGCTTGTTTTAATGCCAATTCCAGTTCCCTCTCCCTCCCCTTCTCCCCTGCCCCCAACTGACCCCCTATCCCATCCCCTTTCTGCTCCCCAGGGAGGGCGAGGCCATCCATGAGAGACCCTCAAAGTCTGTCATATCATTTGGAGCAGGGCCTAGGCCAACCCCCGTGTGTCTAGGCTGAGAGAGTATCCCTCTATGTGGATGGGCTCCCAAAGTCCATTCATATACTAGGGATAAATACTGATCCACTGCCAGAGGCCCCATGGATTGCCCCCAGGTTCAGAGGGTCCGGATTGGTCCTATGCTGGTTTCCCAGCTATCAGTCTGGGGTCCATGAGCTCCCCCTTGTTTAGGTCAGCTGTTTCTGTGGGTTTTTCCAGCCTGGTCTTGACCCCTTTGCTCATCACTCCTCTCTCTCTGCAACTGGATTCCAGGAGTTAGGCTCAGTGTCTAGCAGTGGGTGTCTGCTTCTGCTTCCATCAGCTACTGGATGAAGACTCTAGGATGGCATATAAAGTAGTCATCAATCTCGTTATCAGAGAAGGGCATTTAAGGCAGCCTCTCCACTATTGCTTAGATTCTTAGTTGGGGTCATCCTTGTAGATCTCTGGACATTCCCCTCGTGCCAGATTTCTCTTTAAACCTACAATGGCTCCCTCTATTATGGTATCCCTTCTTGCTCTCCTCTATTCTTCCCCCAACTCAATCTTCCGGCTTCCTCATGTCCTCCTCTCCCCTCCTCTTCTCTTTCTCTTAACTCCCTCTCCCCCCCCCCCCCCCCCCCCCACACTCCCAATTAGCTCAGGAGATCTTGTCCATATCCTCTTCTCTGGGGGACCATGTATGTCTCTCTTAGGGTCCTCCTTGTTTCCTAGCTTCTCTGGCAGTGTGGATTGTAGGCTGGTAATCCTTTGCTCTATGTCTAATATCCATATATGAGTGAGAACATACCATGTGTGTCTTTTTTGTGACTGGGTTACCTCACTCAGGATGGTTTCTTCTAGTTCCATCCATTTGCCGCACATTCCAAGATTCCATTGTTTTGTTTTGTTTTTATCCACTGAGTAGAACTCCATTGTGTAAATGTACCACATTTTCTCCATCCATTCTTCAGTTGAGGGACATCTAGGTTGCTTTCAGGTTCTGTTTATTACCAGTAATGCTGCTATGGACAAAGTTGAACAGATGTCCTTGTTGTATGAATGTGCACCTTTTGGGTTTATGCCTAAGAGTGGAATTGCTGGATCTTGTGGTAGACTGATTCCCAGTTTCCTGAACAATCTCCTACTGATTTCCCCAGTGGCTGTGTTTACACTCCCACCAGCAGTGGAGGAGTGTTCCCCTTTCTCCACATCCTTTCCAGCATAAACTGTTATTTGTGTTTTTGATTTTAGTCATTCTGACAGTAGCAAGATGATATCTCAGAGTTGTTTTGAGTTTCATTTCCTTAATGGATAAGGATGTTGAACACTTTCTTACATGTCTTTCAGCCATTTTAGATTCCTCTATTGAGAATTTTCTATTTAGTTCTGTATCCCACTTTTTAATTGGATTATTTGGTGTTTTGGTGACTAGCTTCTTGAGTTCTTTGTATATTTTGGAAATCATCCCTCTGTCAGATGTGAGGTTGGGGAAGATCTTTTCCCATTCTGTGGGCTGCCATTTTGTCTTGTTGACGGTGTCCTCTGCCTTACAGAAGCTTCTCAGTTTCAGGAGGTCCCATTTGTTAATTGCTGATCTCAGTGTCTGTGCTACTGGTGTAATGTTCAGGAAGCTGTCTCCTGTACCAATTTGTTTAAGGGTACTTCCCACTGTCTCTTCTAAGAGGTTCAGTGTGGCTGGATTTATGTTGAGGTCTTTGATCCATTTGGACTTAAGTTTTGTGCATGGAGATAGACACGGATCTATCTGCAGTCTTCTACATGCCAGCATCCAGTTATGCCAGCACCATTTGTTGAAGATGCTTTTTTTTTTTTTTTTTTTTTCAGGTTCTTTGTCAGAAATCAGGTGTTTGTAGGTGTGTGGGTTAATACCAGGATTTTGAATTTGATTCCATTGGTCTACCTGTCTCTTTTTGTGCCAATACCAAACTGTTTTCTTAATATCAGGGATTT